TATATGTGTGTTAGAACGGCCTAGTCACATTCTACAATCTAACTGAGACAGTCTGGCAGGGATTTCATTATTACAGTTTTTTGCAGTTCAGATTGATTTAACTTGAAAAATTTACTGAATAAAAATCAGGAAAAATTATATTCTCTAGGATTAGCAAGGACCTCAAATTTCAAAGTAAGGTAAAGTACTGACTTCAGAAGTCTTAACAAATGTATATGTTCCTCAGATTTTTTACAAAAATATGTATATTACTTAAAATAAAATTGGAAAATTGATGCCTTTGGCAAACCCTGCAGATTGTCTTGAAATTTCTGCTTCTTTATAAAAGTAACCAGCACTAAAAACCAGTTTTCAGAACTAACAAAACTGCTCCATGGCTGCAGAACTATGACTGTGATAACTATTCATTACGTACTAGTGGTTGTATTGAAGTTTTGTCATTTTATTTAGTTCACTTTGTCATTAAAATGACTAATTGAGGAGTTTAATGTATTAACTTGGAAACCTCCTGCAAAGAGTGACTAAACTTCCATCAACGGTAGGAAACACAGCTCACAACCACAATGCTAATCTTAAACTTAATTCTTATTTAAATGAAAGCTGAAAAGCTGCCCCATCAATGCTACTTTCAGTATTTGCATCTGAATTTACTGTATTGTTTAGGAGAAATGTGGAAGGCTTACAAAGTGGCCAATCAGAGCTCAGTCTGTAGATCTACTGCTTATCAGCAAATACAATTTCTTGCCACAGATATCAAATATTTTGCAAAACATGTACTTATAATCTGCAAATAAAAAGTAAACAACATGAAAATTGTTTTTTTCTTTTATTTAATGTTTACTTAAAAGCCTAACATACTAGTTGTTAGGACATTGTTGAAGCCATTTTTTGTATCATTATTTCAGGTATTTAGTATTGTAAAATGACTCATATATGAGTATTATGCTTATATGGTTTTTGTGTTGCAGCAGAGTAAATATTTAACCAGTGATGGATTATAAATAGCATTGCTTATTTCTGATTGGATGTTGAACTGACATTTGTAACCACTGAAACTTGGAGCAACCCAGTCTTTTAACCTGCACTGCATTTTAGTTGAGCTTTTCAGAAAAGTCTAGTTACAAATTATTTTTTTTAAGTTAACCCTTTGTTTTTTATTATTGAAAAGCAAAAAGACAACTTCGTTTTCAAGACTTTTGACTTAAGACTTAGACAACTTTTATTGTCATTGTATTGTCAAAATGATTTTTTCATTTTGCACAGCTTTCAGACAGTGGATGAGCAGCAGCTTTGCAGCAAAATGAACATTTTCATTTTATAAGGGTGCAGCTGTGATCAAAAAACAGGGTGCAAAAACACATTAATATGGAGGTTCAGAGCATTTCAAGGCAAATATATATGGTGCAAACATGCAGTATTTTGGTTTGGCGTTATGTGTGATGTAGAGTTTGCAACTTAATTTAGAGTTTTTTTTCTATGGTTCAGCTGTCTGATGGCAGTCTGAATGCTTGCTACATGCACATGTTGAGTGCAAAGAACTTTGAGGTCCAAAAGATAGTAAGTCAGACCTGCGGTACTCACAGACATGTTTTAGTTGTGAAACCCTTAAAATTAATTAAACTATGTTAAAAGTGAGAAATGACTGAGGAAATCTGTTCCTAATACAAATGGAGTCTTAATAAACCTTTTTATATTTTTCTCTGTTAAAATCACAGATTTCAGTGTATTTTAATAACATTTCATGTCCTAGCACAAAATAAAGTAAAAATATTGATGATTTTTTTTGCAAGGTTTTAACTGGTTCACAGACTAGGGCAAAGTTTTACCTTCTGGCAACTGAACCTTCCTTTGTAATTATGTGCAACTGCTAGAAGATAAAACTTTTCCCTAGTTTCAATTCATTTTCTGCCCCTAATAGTATTTTCTTGCAGGGTATTTACCTTTATTTATATTCCCTTTATCTGTTCTCTGGCTCCTTTGTCATTTTTATCTACCAAAAACAAGTAAATAGCAAAATTTATTGGTATTTATTTTACAGATAGGATTTTGCCTCTAACACAACAGAATAAACAAATAATGAATATACATAGAGCCAGCAAGTTAAGAAATAGGAAGTGGTGGCATATAACCAGAGCACCTTCTGGAATGTTTGTTCTCTGTTGGATTTACTATGTGCCTCTTGGCTACTTCTCAAACTAATGTGCTCTCCACCCCTGGCCTCCAGTCGGCTTATTTGAATATCCATGTCTGCCACAGTTTATCACTGAATTGTCTGCCCATGGTTTCCATGATGCTGTTTGTTATTAATATTCTCTGACAAACCTCTGAGGCCTTTAAAGAACAGCTGAAATTGTAAATCTAAACTTCATTAATTAAGGGGAAATTAAAATGCTTCCATAACCCCACTTTTTAAAACTGTGTCTTTTACCTTTAACTTGATAATAACACCCTGCGGGTGTATAAAAAATCAATAGAATACACTGAAGTTTATGGTTTTGACAAAATGAGAGAATAAATTTGGATGATTAATAAACCTCTAAAATTGTATGTGTGCCAGAGTGTTCTGCATGTTTAATTAAATCCTTATATGAATTTTTTTTGGGGGGGCAAACTATACACATAACTCCATGATCACAGGCTTGAATAATTTCTCTTCCGGCTACAAAGTTGAAATTAATCAAGCTTGAACTGAATTTTATTTGCATGCCTAATTTCATAATAAGCTCTTGGCTTTGCTAAAACAGACTATTAGGCATCTCTAGTATGAGTCAATGAGAGTTTTCAACACAACAGCTGAGATAAAGTTGATTGAACTTTATTGATCTCACATTGGAGAAATTTACCGCTGCATTAAACCCATTCCCCTGGGGAGCATGGGCTGCCATTGTGCAGCCCCCAGGGAGCAATCAGGGGTTAGGGTCTTGCTCAGGGACCCAGAGCAGCAGTCTGTTAGCCTGACGTAGTCGTACTCAGTTCTAGTCAGAATATGAGTCTGATACTGTTCCATAGAGCTGTGATTATGGGGCGTGTTTTGAACGAACCAGGAAAAAAAATGCCTCTGCACTCAATTGGATATATCTACAACCAATAAGAGCAACGGAGTGCGTGACGTATGTTAAGCGACGCAAGCGAAGGCAAAGCAATTCAACGTATTCCTGGAAACCGAGCATTGCACAACACAAAAAATAGGTAATTTGGAAACAGATTTATAGGAACTTGTACAACAGTATTTTCCAACCTTTTTTGACTACACAAGTTAAAAAAGGTTGGGAAACATTTGGGCATCTTTCTTACCATGTGTACATCTCTCATTCAAAAGTATTGATGATTGTCCAAAAGTGGAACGTAAAACAGCTAATTATAAAATAAAAAAAATATTTTACTTAATCTTTTAATTTGAGCTCTTAATTATTAGGCATTTATTGCTTTTCGTCTCAAAAAAAACAAAAAAAACAACATAAATATGTGGACTGAAAGTTGGTAAGGAATCAAAATAAAATCATATTTTAACCCTGTATTTATTAAATTGGAGCTCCCTTATAATATTTAAATTTGAAGAATAATTACAGAACAAAAATTATAGTCAGACTGACTTGATCATTTTTACTTTGTTTTCATTAACACTTGAGCTGCTTTGATGAGCTCTGATAACTCAATGTGAAAACCAGCAGATCCCAGGCTGTTCTCTGCATCCAGACTGTTCTTCTGCTTGGTTTTGCTGTGTGACACAGCAGATGAACTCATACATATAAGAAAAACTTTTTTTTTTGGTTAATAAAAGCTTGTTTATTTTTTTTTCACAAAGCTAAACCGATCCCAGCCCTATTTTGCTACCTTAAAAATAAAATATTTTCATGTATCCCTTGTAATGCACTCACAGACCACTATGGGTCTGCGTACCCCTGTTTAGGAATCACTGCTCTAGAAGGATGTTATTGTGAAAACTATGAAACATGATAAAGACCGGTGTGCACAAAGAGACCCATAGAATTTAAAACAGAAAGCAGCAGAATTTTTGGAGTTCTGAATGTTTTAAATTTTACTTTGTTTGTTAAAAAACTGATTTGATTGCTGCCCCAGTAGCACAGAATCAGTAGCCTGAACAGGATGCAGCTTTTTAAAAAGAAAGACAACAAATCACAGTGCTACCCTCAATTAAATTATGTACCAATTTAAATACAGGAGGTATTTTTATCTAAGCAGTGCATTTGCAATGAGATACTATCTTTTAAAAACTAAATCAAGCTTTCTGTCAACAAATGTTTGTTTCATTTACCTTAGTAGGACTGGATGTCTCGCAAAAATATATATCTATATTATAAGTGTGAGCAAATGACATACATTTGGGATGACATGAAGGCCCTTCTTGGATTACTACCCTCTTAGTTTTGCACATTACTTACGCAGAGAAGGATAGTGTCTTGCGCCCTGAGATTTATTAATCAGCTGTTGCTCACTGTTTCTTTTGCATACAAAGCTACGGAGGACAGCCTTCATCTGTGCAGCTCTTCACGCATGAAAAGTTCTACAGAAAGACTGGAATTTAACTGATTTTTTTTATCCTTAAATGCTTTTGAGAGAATTTGAGATGGCTCAGTTTTCTGCAATTGTTTTGCTTTATATACACCCTTTCATTTTGGTGTAATGTAAATATATCTCTCTTTAATGTGTAACTGCTGCCTCTTGGCCAGGACTGCATTGAAAGAGTCATTTACATTAAATTTAATCAATTTAAAGGTTGATTTTCAACATAGTATAAAAAGCTTAATCTGCATACTTATGAAAACCTTTTGGCCTACATTTACAGAGCAGTATTTTTGATCAAAATTTCTACTGGTTTTATTTTAATTTTACTTGATGCCAACAGAAAGGTTTGTTTGAAACTACAGATGTCTCGACCATTTTAGTAACACAAACCAACCATCAGCAGGAGCCCAACCAATAGTTTCCTATGCATCCACCCTCTTCTGTCGTTCTAAAAGCAAAATAGAGCTCAAAAAGATGTTTTGACAACTTTATTGGAGATCAGTGACATAAACAAGGGAAGTAAAAACCAGCCATGTCGCTTCACTGAATCTTACATTGAGTGTTATGGAACAGGGAATAAAACCTTAAATACTGAAATACATGGAAAACAAAAAAACAAGGAGATGCATTAATAAAATTCCCTGTTCTAAAGAACAGAAAAAATGTTTACATAACAGAAGAGCAAGAGAGAAACAGACAGGTGGAACACCGAGTTAGATGAATAGCTGTAAATAAAACCCTGAAAAAGATTCAATTTCTCCTGTTTTCATTTAGTTGTGTGCTCTACATTGTGTACTTTTTAAAAACTCTGCACTTCCACAGTGTGGTGTTCTACACTTTACAGTTTTTAGAAAATAACTTTTCTAAAAGCATCAAACCATGACAAGATAAAACCTTGCACAAAATATGACAAAACCTTTATGGCGCACGTATCAGTTTGCAGCCACAGTGGCGGCAGCTTGACAGCCCTCCACTTTGGTTTCCTGCAGCCCTTGCGTCTTCTTCTTGAAGAAGTGTTCGGCCCGCAGCTCCTCAAAGCAGAATTCAGTGGCGCCGCTGAGCAGCAGCTCTTTACAGTACATGCTCTGCTCATGCAGTTTTCCTGCTTTAGCCTCTTTATGCAGCTGTTGCTGCTCTTGCAGTCTTTTCAGAGGGGTTTCTTCCTTGTGTGGCCTCCGCACCGAAAGAACAGAGTTCACCGCCGGGTTGATCTTACATGGTGTCCTGAAGGAAGGGTAAGAAAATAAAAACATAACTGTAAAACTACTAAGCTGTTCAAATAATGGATATAAATGAACAAATAAAGAATTATAAAGGGGTGCAGTAACTGGTTATTTCAGTAATTTATTGTTTCACTGAAAGAGTGACCAGATAACGGATATTTTTCCATCTATGACTAGTTTTTTGTCAGCATTTTTATCGTCCATTTGCTTTCCTACCCTGTCACGAGCTTCTGTTACTGTAGTTTCCGGCTTTGAGCATATTACCAAAATGGCAGTAGGTGAGTCTGAATCGAGGACGGAGGCATCTGCTCAAAGACCAAAAGTATTCATAATATGGGAATACACGTTTGAGCAAGTGTTGATAGAATGTTAGAGTTCAGCATTACAGTTCACATCATAGAATTGTGGATGCTGGATCAAACTGTGATCAAGTTGCTTTGACGCTTCGACGCTCTGGATGCTCAGCACTCTGGTTGTTTACCTGCTATGTTCAGTAGCTTCAAGCTAGAGAGCATCTTGTATTTATTTACTTTATGAATTGAAAAAATACTTCTAAAAAGTATTTCAGTGAGAAAGTCCACCTCCAAACATCTATGCAGTCAGTTCACCAGGACTATGAACCCACTAAAATATGCAGTTCTTGTTCCAGACCTCCAACAGCTCTCTGATACGGCCAGCCTGTGGGAGATTTCCCGCTGCTGTTAGGGCTGCAAGTGATTATAAAGAGGTTTTAAGGTTTGTATTAAAAAAAAGTACAAGAATATACAATAGAATATTTTTCATCTGCAGGTTTTAACATTACTAGTTAAATTGGGTATTTATAAACTTTTTAACCATATTTCATAAAAAATTTTTTTAGTGCAGCAATAATGATCAGAACTCGCTCTGTTCCTTCTACATAACAATCCATTCTTCCTGCTTCTTTTTTAAACCTTTAAAGAATCAACATTGGAAACTGCTATGCACAGCATTTATAGTAATGTTTGTGCTACATCGACAGCACCACACGAGATAGAGGGTTTATCATATTTTTTTTGTACTTGGCTACTCAGCAAATTCCCAACAGGGGGGATTTTTATTGAAATTAGTCGACTAATTGAAAAATTAGTGGAAATATTGGTCGATAGAAAATTAGTCATTACTGGCAGCTCTACATTCTGATCAAGATCACTTCACGAGTAATATAAAGAAATGAATGCAAAAATCTATTTAAACAAATAATTATACTCAGTTTTAGAAAGGATTTAAATAGTATAGTAAAAATCTGCAATGTCTTTAACAGAATGCAATATATATACATTTTTTATGCAATTCTGGTTTAATTACTGCTCTGTATGGGTTGTTCTAAAGTCAAATGTCTTGTTTTAGAGTCTCTATCCTTTTAATTATTTATTTACTACATTAGTTAATTATTATTTTAATAATTAATTAAATAAAAATTAAATGTACCCACCCGGTCATCAGACTCCTGAATTTACATTAAATATTACACCGAGTGCTGGGAAGGATTAAATATTTATACTTTTTTCAGTCACATAGTACAGCCCTAATGACACCTTTAAATGCTTTTACAAGACTTGAGAAGACATTAATTTCTTTTGAAGATTAATTTACATATTTTTGAGAACATAAAAGTAAATCTAAGGAAAAGGTTTTGCTAACTTAGCCTAGCATTTGATAAAACACAGTGGACCAACATCAGAGTATATGATGGCTTCAGAATTCTTCACCAAATGGGAATTCTGGAAAGCACTAGACCTCAAGCAGCATGGGATATATGCTTCCAGACTCTGCAACCTTGGTCTCTTAATTAAATATAAAATGTTTTACTTTGATCCAGATGCTGAAAACCCGAATATCTTTTAGAAAGTTTATTTTGAAAACTCACATTGTTGGAGGCTCATCAGACTCTTCGACAAATGGTTGGAAGGTGGGTTTTGGGGGTGGTGGAGGCATGACTGCATGTCCAAATTTAGTTTTCTGAAGCACCTTTGACATTTATAAAAGCAAAAGTTAAATATGATCTTTAGTAAACAGCAATTTTCCAATTACATGACAAAAAGAAAATTTCTATCATACCTTCACATCACACCATTTTTCAGGCTTTTGTTCATTTTCTTTTGCTCTTGACGTTGGGGGAGCCACCCAAGATTCCAGAGAAGGTTCTGATGGACCACCAGCTTCTGCTTTGTTTTCATTAAAAATAACCAGCTGACTGTTTGAGACGTTGCCGAGGACAGGGGCACCGACAGTCTGCAAGCCTCCTCTAATACCTACCAAGGAACCCACCATTAATGAGGAATGCAATAATAAGACGTAATATCAGCTAAGAACTTCACTACATATTAAGAACTTACCTTTAATTGCCTTCCCGGTCCTGTTGATGGGAGCAATAGCCTTCTTTTTCCCTCTATGTCTGAGGTCGGCAAGGGAAATTCTTTCAGGTTCATTTGGCTCCTCATCGCTGCTGTCATTTTCCAATTTCATAAAAGCCTGTCGGGACACACGAGCCTGCAGAGCTCTGCCAGTGTGCATGCAAACACATTTATTAAAAACAGTTTCAAAGAGTTAAAAGTGAAGCTGAGAAGCGTAGCTTTGATTGAGCAGATCTTTACTTGTGGAACTGATGGAGCCTATCATGTGGCGCAGGGCATTTTTTAAACGCCTCCTGGTATATGAGGTCAGCTTTTCGATAATTTCCCTGGTTCTCGTACTCTTCAGACCAAGCAATGTAGAGCGACGGCTGTGTCACTCCTATCCCCTGGGCTTGCATATAGCTGTAAATGTCGAGGGGTTCTTGGCAGTTTGCTGCCTGGAAATATAAAACAAACATTTAGTCTTTTTTTTTTTACCTCCTCTAAATGTATTTTTCAAAATCAATCTAAAAGAAGTACATACAAATTTAATCCAGAGCTCAACATAGCGAGGGTCATCGTGGTACATCTTTTCATCTGTGAATTTGGTCACAGCCCGCTCCAACAACATTGTAAGATTGCTCTCTTTTCCTCCCCGAGTGAAAGTTTGCTCTGTCCACTTAATATATCTGTTAAACAACAATGATGGCAGAAAGAGTTGAAGAATGCAGACCAGCTTCTATGGAAGGTGTTGCTCATGTATTGACTTACCTATCCCAAACGCTAAGTGGATCATCTCCATCATACATTCGTAGTTCAGATTCAAACATCCTGATGAAACAGAAAAATAATAAAACCCAATAATAACGATGTGATAAATTATTGTAATAAAATTTCTCCTGGAATGCTAAATGTGGAGAGAGATCCTTCCTACTGTTTCTGCTGGTTGATTGCAGAAGTCGATCCTTCTTCTTGTTGGCTAAGGGCTTGATGTAAGGCTGATATAGCCCTGCCTCGCCTTAGTGGCTGGATGTTCTCTTTGCTGAGTTCCCAATCCATATCTCCTCCTTCCGCCATGGTTGATTAAATGTCTTGATGCCTAAGCATACACACACACATATTGTACCGATTGCTCCAAAATGTTTTCAATACTATTATTAGAGATCCTCTTTTGTTTGTGACAATTTTTTTTCTTTTGATCTCTTGAAAAAACATTTTGTCATGGTAAAACAAATATCTCCTTTAGTTTTAATTCAATTATATTATATCCAAACCTCAGTTTTGGTTATAGCTCCCGGCTTTCGGTGTTGTTATGTTATTTTAATAATAATATGATATAATTTAGTGTAGTTCTGTATAACTTAGGTTAGACTTGAATTATATGTGAAAGCTCCTAAATTAACAACTGATTATTCTTAGGATAAGAACCTGTAATTAAAACACCAGGATGGCATCCTTTTTTTTTTTTTTTTTAAATACAATTTTTTCTTTATAAAGCAACTGGAGAATACAGTATGACAAGCTTCAAAAGTTTACTTTTAGAAACAAGGTTAAAAATCAAAATATTTTAATATATCCCCAAGAAATTTATTTTATGTGTAGGCATCAAAACAAAGCTAATGCAAACAAGTCTGTATGTTTAATACAGTGCCCTGAAAACAGATTCACTTTATTCTTTTGTCACACATTCCCTGTCTTAGATTATTAAACAAAAATTCTAAAATCAGACAGATTTTTGGCAAAACAGTGGTAGTGTGAGCTAAAAGAATAAATAATAAACGCAATCCTTAAAGGAATAGTACACCCAAAACATGATTAGCCTTCATTTTCTACTCACCCCCATGCTGAACAACACTCTGGAGTACTTTTTTGATATCTCAAATGCATCTGGAGATCTGGGAGGCTTCTTGCTGTCTGCTGACATTCAAATAATGGAGGTGCCCAGCGCCCGAGGCAGAAAGGTCCATAAAAGTCCACAAAAAACGTGTCAATATTCCTCCATACTGCTCGTCCAATGTATTCCAAGTGTCCTGAGTGGGTAGCATCCAGAATTTACTCGAAATGAAGTTATTTAGAATGTTTTTAGAGCATAAACAGTAGTGTATAGGATTTCCTGAAAGCGCGTTCACGAGTCTATGGAAACCGCGGCAGACCACACCAGATGAAAGTGCGCATTCAGCTCGACAAAGAACTCATGCTCTTCCTCAACACTGAAGTCCTCAGACATTTCTTCTTCTACGCTTGCATTATCGGCAGAGCAGACGCTGAATGCGCACTTTCATCTGGCTTAGTCTGCCGGCTTCCGTAGCATTGTGAACGCGCAGGTGCGCGCTTTCAGGAAATCCTATACACTACTGTTTATGCTCTAAAAACATTGGAATTGGAATACATTGGACGAGCTGTATGGAGGAATATTGACACGTTTTTTGTGGACTTTTATGGACCTTTCTGTCTCGGGCGCCACAGACCTCCATTATTTGAATGTCAGCAGACAGCAAGAAGCCTCCCAGATCTCCAGATGCATTTGAGATATCAAAAAAGTACTCCAGAGTGTTGTTCAGCATGGGGGTGAGTAGAAAATGAAGGCTAATCATGTTTTGGGTGTACTATTCCTTTAACATTTATGACTAAGTTTACAATCCTTGGTGGCATCAGCTGCAATTGAATGTTAAAGTATGCCACTTGAGGAGTTTTGGATTGATATTTACAGACCAAAAAGACTGGCAATTTTTTAAGTAATCAGTTAGTAACAATTAATAGTATTTGCCCTAAATTAAAGTACGTCTAGTAAAAAGGAAATACCGTAATAATACTGGCAATTAAAAAAAAAACATGATTAAAATACTGATACCTCTTGACAGTTGAAACTCTTAATTTTGTTACTCTGTCCCTTAAAAATCCATAATAATTTGCAGTTATATTGAGATGCAACTTATTGTATTATTATTAGATGTAAATTATTGCTTTTGCATGGCATTGTACTTGGTCTCAATAATGACAACTAAATAGGTACCATGTTTTACATAAAAAAGTGCACATCTAGTTTGCTTTGAAGTTATCTTGTGGCTGCCTTAGAAACAGAAACCAATTATTGAGAGTTTCTGCCTGGAGCTCAATGTGAAGAATGCTGAATAGTTGTTAAGCATGTAGGACAACACTGCTAATAATTATTTTAAAAACTTGTTTAACGCGTATGTAAATAATATTTATTAAAATATGATGCACCTCTGGAATAAAGTAGAATGATTTTCTGCAAACTGATGGAAAAACTACTGTTTACAACGACAATTAGACATTACAACGGTGTAATTATTTAACTGTTACTCGGGATGATAGAACACATAGATTAATATATAAAAGATTTGATCTATTTAAAATATGCAACGTGGTGGGCTGTGAAAGATATAAAATAAACACCCTTATCCTGCAAACATGCTACGAATGACTTAGCTAGCTAGCAGCGACATGAGGAGCTAACATCTTTAGCTAAAACAGAATTACTTTACTTCATAAGCTAATTTGGATATATAACATGTAGTGTAATAGGTTATCTACAAGGAACTCGCCTTCATACCTTTTGGGTGCGTATAATGGTCTCCCCACACGATATCTTCACCTAAAAAACACCGAGGTGACGCCGTTAAATTCAAACCAAATACCTCTTCTGTTTTGAACGACGGCCGCGGACGAAGCTGATTGGACGATTCCCAAACCGGAGATAAGAGTGACGTATACGTATAGTTTCCGGTCTACTTCCTGTTTTGATAATGACAGCGTTGACTTACCCTTAATGCATAGCTCTTTTTACTGTTTCATTTCTGCTGTAGTTGTAAGACCTTACACGTTTGTCAGCTAGGAAGGTATCTGTAACTGTACGGCGTTACTAAGGAGGTGACGCCATGGAGAGTCGTTGTTACGGCTGTGCATCAAAGTTCAGCCTCTTCAAAAAGGAGGTAGGCTACCTTCAGTGTTTGGGATAATAACAAAAACCACGCAGATTCTAATTTTTGTATTCATCTAGTGCCAGTTTGGCCAATTAAATTCCGCCTAATGTGTGTTATTATATTTAAAGGGAATAAAAGTAGTAAAATTCGATGCTATCCGACTTTGACATTATTTTGCTATGTCACACAATATATGACTCAGTTAAAAATATAGAAAACATAGGCCAATTTGGCAATTTAGATTGGAGTAAGAAATATTTTTAATTGATTAAAATAATCAATGCTGAAAATGTGCTGGATTTCCATAACAGACAATGAAATTGAATACATATGAACTAGAATGAGTTAAAATGGTAATGTTTTAAAAGGTAGGTGGAAGTTTAACTTAAGAAACGAATCGCTCTCCTATATCCACCTGCGAAACTGCCCATCAGCTTTGAACCACACCTCCACGAAAGCCAATCGGTGTCCAAATGCGCTGTGACTTCATTCAGATGACACCATTTCAACCCACCTCCAGCCTCTCCTCCACCATCGCAGCTAAAGCTTCACCAGAGTCTCATTCCTCCCAGACTCTTACTGCGTTCCCTGTCTCATCTTAGCTGGTCTGGCAGAAGACCGCCATGTTGAGCCTGGTTCTGCCAGAGGTTACTTCCCAATGGGGAGTTTTTCCTCTCCACTGTTGCTGCATGCTTGCTCATTATGGACAAGTTCTCTCAACCTGTGTTATCCAAGCTGGACTTGCATCTTCCAGGTCCCTGAGTATAGCTCTAGTATCAGCTCACGCAATCCACTGGATCTCCCCATGAAGCTCAGCATACAGTCTCGCAAACAGCAGTCTATAGACTGACCAACTTCATCTATATCCACTCCACCACCAGTTTTAGGCCTGGGGAGGAAACAGCCCTATTCTTTGCTCCTGTTCATGCATATCTATCACAATTAAGTGCTATGTTCTCTGCCAAAGTCTGAGCTCCAAAGACCAGTAATTGTATCAATAAATATCTCCTAATTGTCTTTTTTTTTTGTGTGAGTTTTTCAGGTTGAAATATGCATGTTAAAACCCCAGTTAAATTGTCTGTGAAACTTTTCATTTCACTTGAGAATAAGCAGCCTGATCAAATTCCTCCTTTTTCATCAGCAGAGCGAGTACAAAAATAAATACATATTTCTATAAATATAGAAATAAGTATACGAATGATTAAAAAATAGACCAGAAACTCAAGAATGGTTAATATAACAATACCCATAATTATTTAAGTGTTTTGGTAACATAGGAAGTGTAATTTCTGTAAAATTGTCCCCTTAGCTGGGCTGTAAGAGCTGCGGACGCTCCTTCTGCTCCAGCTGTTTGACCTTCAGTGCTGTGGTGCCTCGCCATGGTAACACCCAGCAGAAGGTCTGCAGGCAGTGTCATGGTCATCTCACAAAGTAAACTCCTCCAACATTTTCTACATATGTAAAATATTCTCAATGCATTCTTTTATAAGCTAATCTCTCTCTCTCATTATTATTAGAGGGGAACCTTCAAACAATGCTGGAAGATGGTCCCCTCCAGAAAACTACAAAAAGTTTGTATAGAATTTGTAAAGAAAATATAATTTTCAGTAGTATTTCATAACTTTTAAAATTCTTTCCTTTCTCCTTTTTTTTTTTTTTCAGACGAGTTGCTGCGCTTGAAGCAAAACAGCAAGCTCAATCCACACAGGCTGGTGTTCATGGAGGGAGTAGAAATGGCAAATTGGTCCATCTACCAACCAAAGGGCTTAGCAAAGAAGACCAGGCTATTGCTGATAAGCTTCAAAAGCTAAAAGAAGACACTAAACCGAGTAATAAACCAGTTTTTTAGCACCTAACATCTTAACCAAAGCAGATGTTTAAAGTATTTATTTACAGGCCATTGGGGATTCTCACAGTGTCATAGTTTTTTTCTATACCGAAATGGGATGGGATTAATAAGAAAGTATATAAAATTAAATAATCTACTTTTTGTATTTACTTTCAGCTGAAAAACAATACATTTTTTAGTGCTGCTAAAAAATATACCAGAACTGTTATCTAGTTAATGCAGATATTAGCAAACCTTAGAAGGAAACCGGGTATTCTTAAATTACGATTATTGGCTGACCTGCTTGTTGCACAGATTATTAGATCTTTTAATGCCTCTCTGATCCTTATAAAGTAACACAATCAACTGTTTGTTTTTATTAGTTTTAATGCAAATGTAAATATTTTTCATAGGGCTGGAAAATATTAGAAAACATGCAGCTATGGTATTTCATGCTATAATATTTAACTCTGCTAGATATCATCGCAGGCAATTTAACAAAATCAGAATGTCATTACTGCTCTTCATTTTTCCCTCATCCCAACATGGCCGCTAATCTCCTAAAGCTTTAGAAGCTTTTTAACTTAAACATGCTGATGTCGGCGGCTTTTAAAGCCTTTCCAGACAAACATTTCAGGGTTCTTCTTCATAAGACATGGAAAGGACCTGGCAACCAGGGAGAACTCCTCACATGCAGGGAATGATTGTTTTCTGATGGTTTATAATCAATTGTTAAGAGTTGAGCTACATTCTTCAAGAAATATTTAGATTTTTGTTTTTTATTGAGAGAATCTGATATGTTGTCTGCCTTTATTAGTTAAGACAGAGAAAGTGTTGTTCTGTTAGAGAATAGGGGTAAAAAGATAAATATAAATAGAAACAACTCAAAAAGTATCTAATGAAAAATCTTTTGACAGTAGTTCAGACTCTCTTGGTCTTTATTTTTGCAAAATTTCTTTCAGACTTTTGTTTGGGTTTTGACTGCTTTTTGGTTCAGACTTGATGTTTCTCATCCAGTTCATATTTCTGTGCATGACCTGGATCTCAGCTTCTTGTAAAGTACATTGCAATTATTATTATTATTTTTTTTGATTGGCATAATAAACTGGAGTTGTACTCAAATTAATTGGTCCTGCTAAAAATCAACGCAGGACCAAAATAGGGTCTATTCATCAGATGATCATGTAATTTGTGTCACCTTCCTTGTACCTGCATTATTCATAGATCATCGTTAGGTGGCTGAACAAGCAAAAAAGAAAAGGAAAATATTCTGGTCGCTATGAATAATAAATTGCTTTATAAATCCATCCATACATCAGAAAATTAATACAACATATCCAATGTCATTGCTACTTGTGAATAGTGCAAACCTGATATAAATCTAAGCCTTTCTGCGCTGGGGCCTCATTTTTCTCTTTTAATCTTCTTTATATTGTAAAACAGGATCTTAGTTTTAAAACATTTGATATTCTCAGAGATCTAAAACCAGTCTGTGCACAGCACTACCATATTTTCTCTCTTATAGGAAACCTTTACTGACGCCTGTATTCTCGTACAACTTTTTAAAATCTTTTTAGAGTCTATCCCTTCTGAGAAAGAGATAGAGTCACGTCTTGCTGCGCTGAAAGCTCCCAGCCAACCAGTGCCTTCTGCAGAAGAGATGGAGGATCGCCTGGCAGCTCTGCGGGGTCAGCCACCTCCATCACAAGCCCCTCGACCAGTGAGTTCCTCTCCTTATTATGAGTTAGATTCAAATATATGCCTGGTTAAGAGAAGAAAATATTCAGGGTGTGCTTATGTGACCACACATACAGGTACACCAGCCCCCTGACACCAGGACTCAGACTGAAAAAGCTAATGATTTGATTACTCAGATGGCAGAAGAAGCTGCCATTGATGACCAACTATCAAGCCCAGAAGATGGTAAATAATTATTCGTCTCAATACATTTATATGTAAAGTTTCGGTTAGATGTTGACTGTCATCATTATTAAAGGTATAGAGGACAATCTTTTATCTCTGGATGGATCGTCTAAATAAGTGGTCCTCCTAAATATCATTCATTCTTGTAATATTTTTATGTAAGGCCGTCCTACATGCTCGTCCTGTTAGCTCTTTTTCTGCGCATGCGCACTTTCAGGCATATATATGTGGTGAGCTACGGTTTCAGGCAATCATTGAAGCTCACCTTTCTCATCGCGGTTCTTTAAAAAAGGCAGAGGGTTGTAAGAGGAAAAAGTCTCTACGAAGTGTATTAGAAGAAAAGAAAGGTGTCAGAAGTGGTAGATTTATCTCGTAAAGTCTGTGTGGAGAGCTTTTCTTGCAAAGCACTATGGGATTTGCTATCACAGCGGCCTGCTGTCGCCATAGACTGTCGACACCCGACAGCGGCGACTAATAAGAAAGGTGGTGCAGGTACCACGCAGTGAACCAACGGGGAAGTGATCATCTGTCCGAACAGTAAGTTGAGTTTAGAGTGACTGAGTTCACTCTTAAGTCCCTGCTCTATATAGTGTTTTAGAGATTTGGGGGTTAGGGTGGACGTTCGGGCACAGCAAGCTTGTATGAGCTATGAGTCCAGCAACTTTTAAGCAGAGTGTACACAAGGAGAAATGGGCTCCTGCGTGCTGTCTCTCACACACATTTTTTTTTTTAAGTTGAGAGGGCGGGTCTTTTAAAAGATTCTAGAAAATCCTCCACAATACCTTTAAGCAGAACATCATATTTATTTTGAGCTTTTAATAATACATTGAAGCCATTTTTTTCCTATTTATATATAAGGATAAATGTATATTAGCAAGTTTAAAAAACAACAACAAATAGAGGCCATTAGAACTGGCAGTAGCTTTAATGGTTTTCACAGAATACAGAATATTGAAGTAGGAGGACCATAAACCAACAACTAAATGGTATAAATTAAAAAAAAGTCTTTTTGTACAAAGCAATGATCCAAAACAGGCAACGTTCCTTTTTTTGTTGTTGCAATGAATTGAGAAGGTAAATATTAACTACTGGAATTGCGCCAACTTCAACCATATGGAAAATATGTGAGTCATACCTGAATGATACCTTGGCACTAACCTGGTATCAGGCAGAGATGGGAAGTAACAAAGTTCAAATACTTCGTTACTGTACTCAAGTAGATTTTTCTGATATTTTTACTTTACTTTACTACTTATTTATATGGCGACTTTTTACTTCTACTCCTTACATTTTTACACAAATATCTGTACTTTCTACTCCTTACATTTTTAAAAATTGGCTCGTTACTTTAGTTTTGAATCATTTCAATGGAGTTACCGTTATTATTTTTCACGTCATCAATACCAAATTCAATCTAATTGGATGGGAATCTACGTTGCATTTGATGCACCACTACAAGATGAATCGACAGATTCGGCGGTATTCATTCGCGGCAAATTATTGCAGCTTGGTGGCGGTACTAGTATGGACAACGAGATGATTGAAAATGAACACAACGGAGATCTAGTCCTATTGGCAGACATCCATTTAAAATGTAGGCAACGGCATGAAAAAAGTGGTTTCTACTTTTACTTTTATACTTTAAGTAAATTTACAAGCCTGTACTTTGTTACTTTTACTTGAGTAAAGAAGTTTAATCAGTACTTCCACTTTTACCAGAGTATTTTTCAACACAAGTATCTGTACTTTTACTCAAGTATGTAAAGTGAGTACTTTTGCCATCTCTGGTATCAGGTTAGTGCCAAGAAATCTACCAAATTAAATGTCCTATTTTGTTATTTTTAAGAAAACCAGGAGTCTTATATCCCGCCAGGATTATGTCCCATTTGTTCCACAATTTGCCCATTGATATTTATCGAAATAGAAGAATTACATCTGTATTTGCCACATGAACCTTTATTTATTTATTTATTTATTTATTTATTTTTTTGCATTTAATTCTTGTATTTTACACTCATTGGAGTTTCAAGCGGGACACCCAATTTATGCTAACTGAGTGTTTGTAAATGTCTGACAGCCTTTCCGTAATAATATGGTTATATAACAGTTTTACAGAGTCTGATCAAGTTGTCGTAATTCCCTTAATAAAACAACAGCCTTTTGTACTTTTCCCGTTTGAAGGTGTAGATATGAATGATCTGAACAAAGGGGAGGGTGCAGCTTCAGATGAAAACTTGGAAGACAACCAAGGAGGGATCAGGAAGCTGGAAGCAGAAAAGGACCGTCTGCTTGAAGAGGCCATGAAGGAGCTGAGGAAGGAGCACCACTCCCAGGATCAGATCCTCCACATGGCCAAGAGGCTGGCACAGTTGAAGGGGCAGGACCCAGATAAAGGTAACTGGAGCTAAGGGCGCTGTAATCTTATCCTTTATCCCTGTTTTATGGCAGAATTTCAAAGAACAAAGTAAGACAATACAGCACTATCTCTATAGATATGAGAAAAGTGTTGGTATGCTTGTTAAAGATAACCCCACCTTTTTCTGCTTCGTGTTTAGTAACAGCTGACGACTTCAAACAACCTGATAGTGAAGAAGAAACAGAGGAAGAAGCTGTGAGGAGAGTCCTGAAACAGGTAAGGCATGGTACTCTACATCCCCCACCAAACCAAAGCTGTTGTTTAGTAGTTAGAACTGCCATGATGGCCACAAGAGGCTGCTGTTTGGCCATTTTAATAATACTTTGTGATTTAAAATACAGACATGTTTTGGATTTTGTTCGTTCCAGCTCTCAGAGGAAGCTGCACTCGATGAAGCCAGCGGATACAACATCCCTATAGAACAAAGCGGACCCAAGAACAGAGAGAAAAAGAAAACCTCTAAAAAAACAGTATGAGATAAGACCCAACAACCAAATCGATTGTTTTTGCTTGTTTATTCGTCTAGAATTTAAGCCACTTTTGTTATGTTTTAAAGACCCCCTCACAGAAGAGCAAGACTCCTCCAGCCGCTGCCGTACATCAGCCTTCAGACAGCGACGACGAGGAACTTCCGTGGTGCTGCATCTGCAACCGTGACGCCACCCTCCGTTGCCACACTTGTGATGGAGACCTGTACTGCAGCCGCTGCTTTCGGTAGGATAAGATCCATTAATCATCATAAATACTCCGCAGATTCTAGTGTATGACTCAAAGCGGAGCCTTGCTTGGAAAATCTTCACTTTGCCCTCAGGGAAAATGATTTGGAATTCATATCCTGACCCAGATAAATCCTGCGCAGCTTGCCACCATACTGCTAAGCAGCATGAATATAAAGAATTTACTGTGATTAATTATCAATCTGCTCTCTATTATCTCCTCAGGGAAGGCCATGATAAATACGACAGGAAGGAGCATCACACCAGTAGCTACACCGCTCCGAAGAAGAAGAAGAAGACATGATACTAAAGACGTTTGTCTTATTAAGCTGACCTCTAATGATTGTAGGGCTTACTATTTAGCTTCATGGGGTGTACAGTAGTTACCCTTAACAGAAAAAGAAAACACTGCAGTAAACATCGTAGCACGTTATCTTCCAGTGCCTGGCATAAGTATTAATAAATGCTGTCTGATGTGTTCATGCATTTTATGGGGCAACTAAAAACTTGTATTTATTGGGCTATTATGTCATAAACACAGTAGCAGTGGAAAAAAAGGACTATAATGTTTGGATCCTTTGTTACAATCATTTGTATTCAGCTCCCAGTTGTCAGCACTACATAAAATCACCTTCTTCTGCAGAATAAAGCTGCAGATATTTTGAGGAATATCCCTCACATCCATAAATACATCAATATTTTTCCAATAATTCTTTCAATTAAAAAACCCAATCGGATTGGATGGGGAGCATCTCTGATTGGTTTTGATCTAAACTATTCCGTTTTAGCTTTTAGGTTTGTGTGAAGGTGATTCTCCACAAATAACTCTTATATTTTCCTCCAAGATGGCCCTCTGTTACGCTCCATCTCTCTTTCTCTCAGTTGTCATGCTTGCTGATAAAAGCATCCCTGCACTGTGATGCTGGCGCCATGGCTCATCGTGCTGATGTGACAGGAGTTCTCAGTTTCCACCTTAGAGGGGCTTTTATATAATCTTAAATAGTTAATTTTTCGTTTGACAAAAGTACTTTTTCACATATTTCCTGTGTCCACCATAAGGGTTATATCTAGGTACCAATCAGTCTTCTGTTGGGTTTTTCTGTTTATTGTTTTTCATCTCTGCCAGAAAGTCCAGATTGGTTGTTTACACCACTCAGTTGGGGGGGGAATGGATTCTACCACCTGAGCTGTGGAATTCTGCAGCTCCTCTCGAGTCCCTAAGAGAAACTTCCAGAGATGCCACAACTTTAGGTTTCTATTTTCTAATCTTAATCTGTGTTAACCTCCTTACTTTCTCCCTGGCCTGCCTTCTGTGTTTATGAGGCTGTTTGTTCACCAATGTTCTCTAACATACCTCAGAGGTCTAAACAAACAGCTGCATTTATACCAAACTCAAACTGTGTACCGTGGGTTTAATTTAGTGATTCAGTAACTTCATGCGGTTGAACTTTATTTTAGGGTATGTTGTATAAAAACTGAAAAAGAAAAAAAATGGATGCAACACAATTCAGTTTATCTGTTAAAAATGTATGAAAGTATGTTTTTTTTTAACTTCCACTTAATAATTTAATGATTGGTGTTGGTTTGATACATGAAAATATATTATCAAGATTTGCAATTGTGACAAAATGTGAAAAGGTTAAAGGAGATTGATTCAATTTGAGACAAAGTGGCAAAAAAATAAATAAATTAAAGAGATTAAAAAAATACTTTGTAAGGCTCTTAGCAGCCATTAGACTAAAAATAGACGCAGGCTTTAAATAACTGCAAAGCAAAAAGTTCTATATCTGAAACTCATCTTTTAAAAAAGGTTGAAGATTTTAAATTAAGAACATCTTAGAACCATCAGGGGGAGAAAAAAGAAGTGTCAGGTCTGTTTAAAGCTGTTATACGTTTTCATGAGAACAAAGCCTTCTCTGGAGTGTACTTTGCACAGGTCACTATCGGAGTATTTTTAACGCTTTACAGCAGGCAGCAAAAAGATCACAGAAGAAGCAAAAAACAAGTGAGCCCAAAAGAATCATTGTGGCATTTGTTTCCTTTAATATTTAGCTGTGTTTCTGACAAAATATCTTAACTTTCTGTTTTTTATTCATTTTTTGTATGCTAAGTGAAGCAAAATCATCTGCTTTGTAATTATTTTTTCTAAAACTAATGGAATGTATCTGAGAGAAATATCAGTCTGTGCTCCATGACTGTTTGGCCATATAGAAAGACTTTATGAGTCAGAATCATACAAATGACTGTAATGGAGCTTTCAGTGAAAAGACCCCCATGTAGGACAGTGAGAGGACCGTTTTTTTAGCATCCATTATTGGATAGCTAACAGAAGGGGAAGCCATCATCACTCCCTGGGGGCTTCCTCCATTAACGATGGCCATGTTTGCATTTCTGGTGAAGTCATGCATCGCCACAGAGAGGAAGTGAATGGGTTTAATGGCTGCTTGCTAAATGGAACATCCTGTGGCTGATTTCAGTGTGTTTACTTCTAGACCTGACCTGTCAACGCTTCTGTTGTTTCCATCACTCTGTTGAAAAATTAATGTCAGAAAACAACAGTGGCGGCTGGTCTTCCAGTCGGATCCAGACGCTGAACCACCTGGCAGGATGAAAACAGGGTTTGGTAGCATTAAGGTTTCATTGAAGCTGTACGTTTTGTGTATGTAACTTGGCTGTGAATTTTTTTTTAAATATAACTATTTTTATTAATTCAGTTCAAAAAGTAAACCTGTAATTTTGTGCAGCGGTGTGAAATATTTCAAGCATTTTATTGATGTTGATTAGAATTGATTAAAGCAAATGGCTTTCTGTTAATTAAGGTCTGTATCCTAGCATTATAATTGAAAGTAGTAGAAGGAGAAAGTGGTAGAATAAAGTAAAGTGCTGAGGGAAGTACAGAGGTGGCTGGTCACAGTCAGTGGTTTTATTACTGCTTTCACTAGACCTCATTCGCTTGTAAAACTAGTTGACCTCATATTATATAGACAACTCCTGGGTGTTTTTCTTGAAGATGATTGAAACCAAACATGATACTAATTAGCTGAAGGCTGCTTTAAATCCCACTGGGATTTCTTTACATCTCAGCACTGGCATGGATTTACCTGTTAGTTACTATACATTCCAGTGTTAAAAACTTCTCGTCTAAAACTGAATTTTGGTTTCTCATTTGCTTTAAGCCAAATTCAAAGTTAACTGAAACAAATACCAGAATTCACTGAAAAAAAAATGTATTACATTTCTTTTTAACTTATTTAATTCAAGTAGTAAATAAACCATTTTTTTTCGATACCATGATTTATTCAAGTTGAACATGTTGGTGCATAATCAATGCCTAATAAAACACACTGGTTCATCACTTTGCTCTGGATCTAATTATTCGCACAAACAGCCTTAATTTGAAAAGCTTCCATTTTATTCCAACAACATTGTTACCTGAACAAAATGTCTATTTACATAAAAAAAGAAACTGAAAATGTACGCTTTTAACTCCTACACACACATGAAAAGAGTCCATCTAGGTAATAGTGTCAGTTTTATCTCTTTTACATTATATATACTGTAAAAGGAGTTTAAATCTTAGAAGAGTCCATAAATTGGGAAAAACAAAAATCCAGTCTGGGGGGAGGGAGACAGGTAAGCTCTCACTGATGTGTCATTCTCTCTTACAGGCATTCAAACAGTTAACCCTTCGGGAAGAAGACGCTCCCCATCTTGATTCTTAACTTGACCTATAATTATTTCTTCAAGGGGCCTGACATTTTCCTTAGGCCTTTTATCCTGTAGAGCAGCGCGTTGATAAAATCCTGTGGAGAAGTTTGAGAGGGCACATTTTTATTCTCTATATCAGTTTTACATAGAGAAAATATCCTAATAAATACATTTTTCAATTTTTAGAATATGCTGCTTTTTAAAGTGGAAGTGGAGATTATGTCACTTTACCTCTTTTGGCTTTCCGCATTCTTGCAATAGCTCCTGATAAGAGAAGAAATATAAAATTAATAAAATTAATTTCAGCTTATTTATATAGCACCAATTCACAACACATGTCATCTCAAGGCCCTTTACAGAGACGATCCAAACAGATCATACAGTCAGATTGGTTCAAAGTTTTCAATCTAAGGAAAACCAGTTGATTGCATCGACTCACTGACTGCAAGCATGCTTGTAGCGACAGTGGAGAGAAAAACTCCCTTTTAACAGGAAGAAACCTCCAGCAGAACCAGGCACAGTGTGAGCCTGGTTCTGGTTCTGATATTAACTTTTGTGTCCTTTCAACAGGGAGGCTACAAAAATTTGAGAAGGAGGGCAAAGGGCACCCATGAAAAACTAAGCTTAACCAAGGCCAGATGGGCTTATATAGAGAATATTTTGTATACATATAAATCTACAATGGAGGAAGATGATTGTTGATATTTATTTGTTCGGCAGAGATTTTATCCTTTAAAGGAAAGTATTATCAGTAGCCCACATTCCTCTGGAAATGGTCTGCAGGTGCAGATCATGTCAAATTTAAATAAATTAGTTTTTGCTTGAACAAAAAAAGGGAAAAATACTGACAAATACAGATTAATAACCTGATTCATTTTAACAAACACAGGTTAATATGTTGAAAGTAATTAATTAATGAAATTGTTCAATATTAGTTCCCAGCTAGAATGCATCTATTGCTTTGGAAGAAAGCAGAAATGCTTTTTCAGATAAATTGTTAAGCATGCCATGAACATTTAGTGTGACTTTAAACTGGATTCAAGCACCAAATTGGGTTAGGCCAAACAACACAGATTTACCTTAAATCTTTGTTGTTCAAATTGTATACGCAGAAATGGCTACAATCAACTCTTAAACCTGAATATCTCCAAATGAATCTCTGTTTCTACATTTAATTCCGTAAAGAATAACATGCAACCAGGAAATGTTGCATTCTCTGGCTTTTGAGATGCAAATCTGCCCAACAGCTTGGAAACCAGAAGCATCGTACAGGATGTCAAAAACCGCCAGGAAAAGATGCGTTTACCAAAAAAGAAAAAAACTTTGAGCTGCTTCTTTTTTTTTTTTACACAGTATTAATTTGTTTATAACAGACATCAAAAGCACCTAGAGATCCTGTAAAATGAATTGGCGGATTGGACTTTGCAGACCTGGCTTTACTGAGAAGCATAAAATGAAGAAACTGGAGTGACTTGATGCTTTATTGAATAATTTGTGGGGAGAAAATCATGTTTAAACCTTGTTGGTTTAAAAACATTTATTATCTGTGCATAGAAATGTGCTCACCTGAAGACGAGTTCTTTGTCCTTCATCGGGCAGTTCTAGAAGTTCATCTATGTCAATTTCTATCTCTGGAATCTCCTCCTCCTGTTAGGGATATAGAAGCTCATTTAAGTATTTTCACTATAACAGTGTTCAGATGTTTTTCTGTTGTACTTTTTAAATCATTCATAACCTAAAAGCATGATTCCATTTAAATTTTACAACCCTTTTGTTACAGATTGTCCCAGGTGAAAGGGAGCTGCTTTCAGAGTTTAAACTATAGTTGTAAAGTAAAAAGGTTTATTTCTCGTAAAATGATAGTTCAGTGAGCAGCATGAGCCTTGGGTTTGAAGGGCTCTAGTAGGCCTTTGTTTACATAAGGCAGCTACAGTTTTCATGGATGGATTACCGTTTACTATGTGGTTCAACCATTACAGGGAGATTATTTCCATCTATTGAGCTCCATATTAATCCTTAGTTGGTTTGCCACACATTATCAGCAAACCTGTTCCTGACCCTCCACGCAACATCAAATATTTTTCCAAATTTGATGTGACAGACCAACAAAAGGAGTACATAACTGTGAAGCTGAAGGGAAATTATGAATTATTTGTATTCATTTTTTTTTTAAACCACAAATAAAAAAAAATCTGTTGTGAACATTTGAATTGAGCTACATCCAAAGATTAAGCTATTTTAATGTTTTATCCATTGATAACCCATTTTAAATCTGATTTTAATAATAATAATTGAACTTTATTGATCTCATATTTGAGAAATTTACCTCTGTATTTAACCCATCCCCTTGGGGAGCAGTGGGCTGCCATCATGGGCTGCACAGAGAACAGTATGGGGTTAAGGGTCTTGCTCAGAGGCACAGTCTGTCTCTGAATGGGAGTCTGTGGGAGTGGGGCTCAAACTTAGAACCTCACAATTCCAAGCTCTATGTCCTAACCACTAGGCCTCCACTCCCCAGAATAATAATTAGCAATATTTTACTAATAATTAACCAAGAGTGGCCAAGATATTGAAGTTATAGCCATTAATTCTAACTTGATGTTCCTTTTCTCAGCTAAAGCAAACAGCAAAGCAATTAATCTGTATAACCAGCTTTTAATAATCCCCCTCTCCACCCTCAGAGAGACTGGGGACTGCAATCAGCACAGTTCATAGACTGATATCTGGAGTCAGCAGGAGCATGCTCACATTTGACAAGCGTGGCCTCATTTTAGAGGGAATGTTTTCCGGATGAGGAATTTCTTGGCTAAAACCAGTTGGGCTTGCACAGCTCTCAACCAAAGGAAGGAAGGTAATCAATGAGGAAGTGCTGAGTGGTGAAATAGATGGGCCCTCACCAGAGTCCCCTGTGGTGCCTTTAATTGATATGTACTGCAGGTTTGGACTTTCTCTGATTCTGCTGAACTCTGTAAAAGGAATCTATGAGTGAACTTTTGGATCATGCTTTATGCTACTGCATGCACACTTATATGCTCAATTGTTTCCTATTAACAACAAATAAAGTATGAATAAGGATAAATCTGGCAGCTTAAGTTGTAAAACTGCATAAAGTAGTCAAGTGATTTTATTAGATTTTTTTTCACCATAATGTGTTTCAGACAACCAATCTATGCAAAGCATCACTAAATATCTAATTGCAATTCTTTTCCTCTAACTAGCTAAACCTACAAGGTTTCATACAGTCACTGGTTTTCACTTTGTTGGGAGTCTTAATTGGAGGAATGTTGTATTTTAATGAGACCACCAGGCATAGACGTCTCTGTAGCATTTTCTACATTTGAAAAAACTGATCTTAGAGCTACTGGCATCACTGCGATAAATCACAAATATCAAAGCAAGTCTTGGAGGGCAGCAGTTTTTTATTTTTAGATAAGCAGTTAAAATTCAGAAACCTTTTGAATATTTATGGTGTTGGTGAAAAAGCGCAGTTAGCAGATTATTTATCTGTGTCTTAGCGTTGTGTTGGATTTAAGGCTTTTGTATTATAATTGAATAAATTTCTTCTAAACTGATGCACATATTTCTTTTTTTCATATAGTTTCTCTCTGAAACCAAGTAATTCCCACAATTTTTAATATACAGGTATCATGGAAAATGATAAAATCCTAAATTTCACCCAAATTAAGAGCAATAATCATTACAGTCTAACACTGAGCTTTGCTATGAAAGAAACGGGCCAAAACAAAGTGCCAGGGATAGAACTAAGAATCCAGTTAATGTTAATAGTTTGAAGAATAGATATTAGTCTGCAATCATTTGAATAAATATGTAAAAAAAAAAACAAATCATTAAATAGTTTCAATGTATAAATAATTCATATTATTTAGAATTATGTTTTCATTTTTCCTTAATTGCTAAAATAAAAAAAATGTAAAACTTAAAAAAACACTATTATTGAGACCTTGAATTTATTTAATCTAAAAACCAGCTGTGATTATATAATTAACTATTGAACACTTTGACTTTACTTCTGCTAAATCGACTATAGAATATTTTAAACTGACACATGTCAAATAGACCCTAATATCAGTGCTTCATAGCACCTCAAATACACAAGCATTCATTATATATTTAATATAAATGTCACATAAATATTTTTTATTTTTGGATGTAATTTCCTGCTACCCTAAAACGAAACAGTCCCGCTGCTCTTACTGTTTTATTTTAGTAAGAAACTCTGTTACAATTTAAAACAGTTTTAGTTAAACTTCCTACAGTTCCCTAACATGTTAGGTAACCAAATCCACTGGACCACCCTCCTGCAAAAGCATCTCAACAAAACATTAACATGACAAACACTTTTTTGCGTTTATGTTATCATGACGGAAACCATGGGCTGGAAAATCAGTCTGTTGTGAGACACTGCTGGTGCATGTTTAACTTATCAGTTCTTTTCCTGTTCCTGTCAACGTGTCTAAATATCCAGTAATTACTCTGAGACAAAGGGGACCTAGTTAAAAGAGCTATTGATACTACAATTTCTCATTTTCTGTTTAGTAGAATAAAAGTTGTGCAAACTTTTGGTGATAAATTGATTTAATTGGATAACTTGAATGCTCTTAACATTATAAGCATAAACTTCAGTCTATTTGGTTTTCATTTTCACCAATGAGAGTTGGAAAATGCAACAAGATTTTTACTTGTGTGCATGTTTTTTAAGTTATATTTATAGTCTGATAACTCTAAATATAGCTTATTTTAAAATATGACCTTCAGAACTCACATTAAATAAAGTTTACCCAAGCTTTGAATGGTAAAGAGCACTACTTAGTTTAAAAATATGTAAAACTTCCTAATATACAACAAATCTATGGCAATCAACCTAAATAGGCCAGACAAAGACAGCATTTATTAGAAATATAGTCACTCTAGAGGAGTACTAAAAATTACCTCTTCAGGTTGAAGAAGATGTTCATAGGGAAACCATTAACTGTGTATTTCCCAAATTCACCATAGAAAGCTGTAAATTTATTGTTTTCATGTTGACTAATGTTGGGAGTTGCATTGTGATGTGGGGATGTCTCTTCTCTTATAGACAGGAACGATGAACAGAACTGATAAGCTGAATGACACTAAGTATAAAGAAACTTTGGAGCAAAATTAAGAGGCTGTAAAATACTTTAAGTTCATCTTCAGGTTGGTCAACATCTCAAACAGTGTTGCACTGGATTGCTTAGAATCAAACATATTTATGTGTTTGAAAGCTTCTTCAAAGTATAGACCTAAACCCAATTGACAGTTTGTGAAAATACATAGGAAGCATGGATTAGAAGTACTGAATGAAAATATCACTGTAGTGGCAGCATGTTTTGAAAACTGTCTATCATTTTTCCCTTTTACTTTCCGCTATTTTCTGCTCTTTCTTCGCCCACATCCTAAGAAGATGAAGAGAATTTTATTGTATTACACTAACATTATGCTACTGTTCAAACGTCTTTAAGGAGGAAGTTTAAAACTTTTTAGAAGGTGTGAAGTTCCTATGAAGTGGTCCCCTCCAGACTGGGCAGCACTTGTATGAATTAGAAATGCAAATGAATAATTTAGGCGGTAACACAGGGGACTGATGGTAAATGCTTCCACGCGGAAGACTCAGAGAACCAACAGAGTAACCTTTACCCAAGCCCCATGCAAAATTTATCACTACCCAGTGACCACTGACAAGCAGCTCATGCAAAACATTTGGAAGTTAGATAATTTATTGTTGGGTTGGAATTTCATTATTACTCTTAGAAAGAATACATTTATGATCAGTATTTTCCTGACACGGGTCTGGATATTTGCGTTGTTATTGCCAAATCTTACAAACTCATTAACATTTAACTTTTACAACAATGCTATGAAATATATTCCTTTTCTAACCTCATGCAATCTTGCATCTTATGTGCAACGGTGCTGAAAATAAGAGAGAGACCATCCTATACTTTAGTTGTCAACCAGAAACTCAGACTTTTATTCTCTTCTGCAGCAACATTAGAGAGCTATTTGTGGGAAAGAAAGAGATGGCTGCAGACAATCTACAACAAACTCTGTACTAGCTTGACTTTACAATAAAATGGGGAAAAAAACTCATTCCACCCTTTCCGGGTGGAAAAGAGGGAGATCTTGTCATCCGATCGCCACCGTCATCAGGAAGCTCATGCTGCTTAAAGGACAACCCTAACTCTGACTATGCCAAGCAGCCTCATGTGGGCGATGAGACATCTGTTGCCATGGTTTCCCCTCACAGAACACCAAGCTAGTCAATATGGAGCCTCTGACATAATTGGATTGTATCCCACAGCACAGGATTTGCTTTACGATGCCTGTATTCCTACGCTTACAATTTGTTTGATGTATTTTCCTAATCCACATTATGTTAGACTGATAAGGAAAAAGGATTTTGTTTTTTTTACACAGAAATGTCAGCCTGCTAACAATTTTGTCCATATTTGATGATCTATGCACCGAATATTTCATCAGGGCTTCTTCAGGATGGAACTGGTCATTACGTGACAGTGCTGGTTTTAGGACTGGGATGTTTGACAGCAGAACTTGGTGTCACCTGCCTTGTTTTCTCTTGTGGCTCTCATCATCCTCTGAACCATACTTGTTAGATGAAGTTTAAATGGGGCAACTTTACTGTCCAATTATTTAGAATTAATTAAAAATAGTGTCCCATGGCTTCTAAAATCCTGGATGTGGAAACTTTACACTGGACCTCAAGTTTCTGAATCCTGTGCAGGTTTTCTTTGAAAGCTTTGGGAACTTGATTCCAATTTAAAATGCAAAATTTACTTTGAAGAGTGAAGAGCTCGGGAGTAGTGAAAGGAATGCAGCAGTTGCATGCCATTTCCTGGTTACAACTGTGACTCAGCTCTTCAAGCACTGTCTTCAGCTGCAGTCCACACCTTGCATATCGTCCCTGAACTCTTGAATTGCCTTTGCGTCACAATGCTTTGTAGGTTCTGTTGGTTGTTCCTGTTGCATGCGGGCCTTTCTACAACACTTTTTCTTCCACTTAACCTTCTATTTTATCCATGTTTACAGAATTCTTTAAACAGAAATCCTTTCTAGCAAAAGTCTTGCATGCCATCCTGCTAAAGCCATCTGCTGTATTATCAGGACAGCAACCTTCCATATGTCCTTATGACTGTGTAGGGCCTAGCATAATTTTTCTGTATTAAATATTTATTTTATCATTTAAATGTCAGTTTTGTATTAGCTGTAAAGCATAAAAAGAACAAAAAATAGAAATGTTGGCTCTAAGATAGCAGAAACTGAAATATTCATATGTTTAAATTTAAATGTTTACAATGATCTGTGGAGTCCAAATACATTTTGTAATTAAAGAGTTTATGAGGATTGAAACATGTTTGTAATTATTTATTAATTAATCTTCCTGGGCATCTTATCACTATGATAGGGGACCTGAGAGAATGGATACAGCAAAATCCTGCAGTCAGGCTGATGACACATGACTGCTGATGATCCAGAAGCTGCAGTCAGGGAGAGCAGCTTCCTGCCTCTCACCCACTTCATGAGCCACACATGATGGATCCCCATAGCAGGAACCTTTAAGCAGTTTTCCCCCACATTTCCATTAATGCAAAAGAGTTGACAGTCAGAGTGAGAGAGCTCTGTCCCCCTACCTCACAGTCAAACAGCAGGTGCAGCTGCCCATCGATCCACTCCTCAATATCCAGCCTTCTCTGCAGGTCCTTGCGGTTGTACTTCACTGTCAGTTTGCCCAGCTTACGGTTTGCAGGGTCTTCAGTCTTGTCCGGCGCCTGGAACACCACCCTGGACTGGGTGCTTGGCTCTGACGCCATGGCTGCCACGGCCTCAGGAGAACCGTGGATCACAGACAGAGCCACAGGCAATGAAGCACTCCACGTACACACCAACTCCCCTCCTCTATTTACTTAAAGCTGATTTTCTTATAGGCTGCTGTTCTCACACGCTGCTCCTCTTTTCTTCTGAGTCTTTAATTCCAGCTTCTGGTTCTCTGCTTGTCCTTGTCGTCCCTCTCACTTATTCTCTCTGAAGCTCACTCTCTTGCTCTCTTTCACTCCACCTCCTCCTTTGCAACACCCACTGGCTGCACTATCAGGAGGATGGTAATGAGATATGACTCTCTATGTGAGCGTGTGTGCGCTTTGCAGGGTGTATAATTGGTTTTTGTTCTTTCTTTTCCTTATAGCAGGTGGAAGAGCATAGGTCAATTGCACCAATAAAAAAGAAGAAAGGTTGAAAGGGCACTCATCGATGGATTATCAGTTTGGCTGCATATCTGCTTAAAAACAACAACAACTAAATCAAACATTGATTTGCATTTTGTTTGCACAAATTGAACATAAAACATAAGAATCAAATTCCAGCACAACTTTTGTTGAAGTATCTAAAGTATTTATTGTCTACGAAGTGAAAAAGCAATGGCACACCTTCAGACTACTACTACCAAGAAGGACTGTTTGTATGATGTTTTCTGAAAAGCTGCTTAGTTTTATGTCAGGTTTATTGGCACGTACAACTTCTTGAAAAAAGTTCAACTTTTGTCCCATAAAATGTTTAAGGATCATCAACATGTGTTTTAAGGAATTGGGAGAGAGGGATTTGTGTTAGTTTAGGTCACCAGTGGTTTAAGCATTGGAACTCTACCATAGATGATAGTTTTGCTCAGATGCAATAAAACTTCAAGAGAAGGTCTGCTGTGCTTTCGCTTTTGTGAAATTTCAATACTGTTGGTATAGGCTCGGGAAGTAATTTTGGTTTGCAAATCCTAGGAACTTTTTTTACGGTACAGGTCTATCAATAATCATGTGTGGCTAGTGAAACTGAAATCTTGCTTTGATTAAGGTTGCTTTTTTTATATTTAGTAAGGTTGGAAAACTCTTTATTTCAAATTTAAAAACCTTTTTTCCTGCACTGTATTTCCAACTGTGGGGAGGTCCCTCTCTGCCAGGTGAGCCAGGGTTCACCTACTGTGGTCATTTCTTTATACTTCTTATGGCAGCCATTATCAGGTGCATGTGTAGTAAGGCAAGTCAAATCGGCATCCTCAGTTAAGCACTCTTACATAATACATGAAGAAGAGTTAGCTACTCATGGGTGCAAAATTAGACCAATAAGTCGAACGTAATTCCAGAAATCATCAATATTTGTAAAGGAGCATGTAACAGCCGAACACATCAAGTAATCCGCATAAAAAAGCAGAAAATGTTTCGATATATCATAGCAATATGATTAATGGGCATTCAGGTTCTTTTGAGCACGCATCATTCATAGCTGGCAGTGTTCACCCTCTGATGCACCGTCTGTTACAAGAACTAAATTATTAAGGCCTTCTAGGTACTCACCTTTCCAAGCAAACAAATTCATTCATCCCATGCCATGCTGCTTTGTTCTGCATGGTGAAACTGGTTAAAATAAACTACAACTGCAAACCCATGTAAGGTCTTCTCACCTCCAACTTGGCTGGGTGGTTTGTTAAAGGGATTTAAAAAACAAAAAATCTAAAGGAAGCAGTAAGTCAACAAGCTGCCTCACTGCGGGTTTAAAAAGGTAGACTTTCACTCCCAGAAGCTGAGCTTACCTGCTTAGTATTTGTTCTGACTTAGGTTCACTAGATCTTGGAATTACTATAAATCTATGTTTCATAATATGTTAGTCTTTTCACTGTTCCTCTGCAGGTGTTACCCAGTGGTTACACAACTCATGTCATGCCATAACATGGTCACCAGTCTAAGCAAGCTTTGTGCTCTACTAATTAAACAGGATTCTGAGCTCTGGTAATAGAAATAATGACCTAATTGTATTTCAGAGAGAATGAGACAAAAGATTAGTTTTTTAAATAAACAAGTTAGTCATCCTTAAAATACCTTTAGCTATTGATGTATTAACACTGCCACCTGCTGGAACAATATGAAACTTATTTAAAACTTTGTGGCAAATGATAATATAAATTACAAGACATTGTTGTCCTAAGCCATAGAACAGAGTCTGAAAAAAAAAACTTTCCTTCTAATGCTCAGCTTGAACTTCAAAGACTTAATTTTTTTAGCAAATCTCAAAAGGTTTTATTGAAATGCTCTAAATAGTTTTAACCCTTTTTAAAATCGACCATCATCTACATCCACCCTCTGTCCTCACATAGATGCATATTTTTCTACCTTTAAAGCCTCATTTAAGTGATTCATCAGAGTTTGCTTGTTTACAAACAAAATCTTAAAGCTTAAGTAATGTAATGCACATCCTTTTTTTATATACTTTTGAGACATAGATTTCCTCTTTTATATCTAGTATTTTTTACCCCTATGTTTAAATATATACTGATTTTAACATCTGAAGCATTTGTGCATGAAAGCAGAAGGTAACTGCACGTCAATGTTCGTTGTTATAATTTACATATTTCAAGCCTGTTCATGCTCATAGTTAATGGTAAAATAACTGGTCTGTGGTCACAGACCAACAGTCAAAGCCCCTTTTCTACCACACAGACAGATGCAGAACGGAAAAGAAACTTTTTCTCTGGCCACATCTTGAATTGCACCAGAACAACCAACTAAACCAGAGCTATAAAAGGGTTACCGGTAGATAAGATGCAGCTTTCGCTTGAAGTCAAAATGTTTCAAGCAGAGACACATGCTAGTAAATAAATGCAATGGTTTCAAAATTATTTTCAGAAAAAAAATCCTCAGACGTTGTCAAAACAGTAAATCGAGTCTGTCTTTGTAATTTAGAGGTGTCAGAGGTCAGTGAGATACTCATTGGGCAAATGGGGGATTATTCAGAGGAGTAACTAAGGTGCCCATGGAAACTCTGGAAGAGCTGCAGGGATTCCCCACTCCTTTAAAATCCAGGACAAATATTAGTCACAAATCTAGCTTTTATGGAGGAGTTGTAAGAAGAATAACATTGTTGACAGTTTGTTATAGGAAAACTCAGTAAATGTGTAGGAGCAGGTGCTAGAAAGTAGACTGAACTGTATGACTGACATGGAAAGCGCTGTGTGGAGGAACCATAACACTGTAGATTATATTAATAAACCATTCACATGGTGAAAGATGGGGATGATGGCAGCATCAGGCTGTGGGGAAGCTTCTCTTTAGCAGAGACTGCTGACGATTGGAGCTGATCTGGATTAGTGGGACAGATAATGGAGCTAGATCCATGTCAGTATTGGCAGAAAAACTGCTTTCATTCAACTTTTTCCTGCTTCTTCTGAAATCTACAATCATTTATGTTGTTTTGTTGACATTCCAGAACAGATGATTGTTTGCACACCACTCCATAAAATGGTTCACGCTTCTTGCTTATCTCTGATGCACTCAACTACAGCAGAGTCATCTGAGAATTTCTGCAAGACAGGACTCTGTTTGGTACTGGAAGTCAGATATGTGCAGCATAAAAAGGAATGGTAAGAGTACTGTTCCCTGTGGTGCTCCTGTGCTGCTGACTACTTGATTAGACTGCTGACCCTTCATTCTAACAAACTGTGGTCTGTTCGATAGGTTGTCTTTGAGTCTTCTGAAGTTTCTGACAAAGTAAATCAGGTGGAATTGTATAAAATGCACTGAAGAACTCAAAGAACATGCTCCTTACATTGCTGTCTGCCTTGTCCCATGACACTGGGTTTGTTGAAAAAGTTGTATGATGGCATCTTCAAATCCTTGGATAAACAAACAGCAGGGGGTTCTGATAGCTGCTTGTTTGCTTGCTGAGGTGAACCAACAGTAGGCTCTCTAGACCTTCATGAAGTGGGATTTCAGGGCAACATGTCTATAATCAGTAAGGACTGTTGGTCAGTAGACCGTCTGTGAAGATGCTATGAAATGAATAAAATAAGAAATAATGAAATGTATATGTAAATTAATTTATTAAAAACAAATAACTAATATTATTTAATATATATATATATATTATATATTTAATTATTTAATGGTATTTACATTTTACGTTAACAATTAGCTACTCAGTATTAAATTCTTGATTCAATATTGTATATTGCATAAATTGTACATTTAATTTTAGGGTAAATTAAGGGTACAATTATTTATTTCATTTATATATTTCATTATAAATTTACTCCTACACTATATATTCAATGCAATATTCATTTATTTGATTTTGTCCCCTTTAACCTTCAATTCACTCTGCTAGTATCGTTTGTGGGTCAGTTTAGTGGGGTTAAACCTAGCTATGTTGATAGAAAACAATAGGCTTTTGTGACATGCAGCCTGCATTTAACAAAGGTGGATGTCTTGTATCACTGAATGAATTCTTTTGTCTGCTATATACAAACATAAGCTGGATGTCTTTGTATCTTTAACTGATTCATACAGGGCTTTCCCAAAGTACAAGCTGCCTTTTTGGTGGCTTATGGACCTTCGTCCCTTATGAGCTACAGCTTCCTCTTTTTGCTTAAAATATAATAATGTCCATTATGGCCAAACACTTCAATTCTGGTTTTTAATAATCTAAAGGGTGTTTCTCCCAAAGAAGTAATGTAGTAATTCTTTGGTGGGCTTTTACAGTCTGAGTTTTTATTATTTTGTAGTGGCTTATTTTCCTCTGAGGGGCCTTTCCTTTTATTTTTGCTGTGAATAATTGCATTCCCTGCAGATTTATCCAGCATTTTTAAATGGTCTTTGCTCTTATTCAGAAGTCGATACACATATTTTGTACCCAAACGTGTTCATGAAACAGTTTAACCTCCTGAAGAGCATAATGTCTGGACATCCTCATATCTTAAAATGGATGAAACAGTCTAAAAAAGGCCTCTGCCTTATTTGTTAAGATTTATACACAAAAAGAAAGCAGTGTGTTTAATTCAGCAAGTGTTCTTCCATTTACTCAATTTGTGAGATAAACCAAAGAAACCATACAGCATTCCAATCTAAGCATGATTATGATTCCCACCTTTACTAATCCTTTATGTTTGTAAACTTCTGAATTCTAAGGAAGTAGTTATATATATATATATATATATATATATATATATATTCTTAATATGTTGGTCAAAACAGTTTTTCACACTTTTTTTTGCTCCCCCTCCCCC